GGGGGGGGGACCCGAAGAAAAAGAAGGTTGGACTCTATTTTAGTGCAGAATTGCTTAGAGGACACCACAGTGAACATATTTATTGGCAGTCGTAAATTATGAATTTAAATTGAGGTCTTTTCTGTGTGTTTATGGTTCGTAAGTTGCCTCGAGTTCTGTAAGGCAGAAAGGCGGCTAATAAATGCTTTAAATAAATAAGTAAACCTTGCTTGGCTTCTAGTTACCTGGGAGAAAAGTGGGTTTATAAACGTTTTAAACAGACCTAGTGATGAGTGGATTAAAATTGCGAGAAACTTGAGAGCAAGATAGGTAAGAGCCAGCAAGAGCCTATTCTGCAGTAAAAGCCTGAGAGAAATCAAAACCGCCTTTTTTTCCTTACGCACTTTCTCCCCCCCCCCCATGCAGTTACCTGGAGGAGGCGGTGATGCACTTAGACCACAGCGACCCCATCACCCGTGACCACATGGGCTCGGTGATGAACCAGGTGCGGCAGAAGCTCTTCCAGTTCCTGCAGGCGGAGCCTCACAACACCCTGAGCAAGCCAGCGCGGCGTCTGATGATCATGCTTCAAGGCCTGGCCACGCCCAGCATGTCCTAACAGGGCCGGTCCATCTCTCGCGCAAGGGGGCCCGTCGTTGCTAACCAAACTCGGCTTTGTTTTTCCCCCTTTCTGTCCCCCCCACCCCCATCCTTTTAAAGAGCTTCTGCTAGGGAAACTCATCCACGCGCCCAGTGTGTGGCTAGAGAAGGCGGCGAAGCTCAGCTGCGTATAATGCAGGATCACACTTATTTTCTGTGCGAGCGGAAACACCCCCGTGCACCCCACCCTCCCAGCAGCCGGCTCTCTTTGTACTTGTACAAGCTGATGCACAGAGGCACTGACACCGCTGTCCCTCCCATGAATGTCTCTGGGCTCCCGCCCCAGGGAAAGCAAAGCATCTTTGCGCTCAGCTAAGGGGGAAATGGTCCGAGGTCCCGGCCGGAGGGGGTAGGCAGCTGCTTGGGGTCGTGGTAGCCACAGTGAGGGGGTTGCCCCCCCCAGCTACGCCACTTGCAGGTTGGAGGGCAGGAAAGTACACGTAAGCCCACCCGTGTTGCAGAGGGAGCACCGGTTCTTTGTGTTCGATGGAGCATGTTCACTGATCAGAAAGTTTTCCGTTAGGTTTTTTTTGTTTGTTTGTTTGTTTTGGCTTTTACACCACTCCCCCTCCCCGTCCTTTTTATCTAGGATCTTAAAAATCTTTCATTTTTGAATAATGTTTAAAAAAAAATAAATAAATGACTTTTTTGGAAGAAAAGAGAGGTGCTGCGTTCGTTTCTCTGTGGGTTTGGTAAGAGCTTCACCACTTCTTCGTCTCCATCTGTCCTGTTTTGGTGATGCAGCTTCGAAGAAGGGGGGGGGAGTGTTTCTTTGGGGGGAGGTTTCTGCATTTCTGTTCCTTATTTATGCCTGTTGGGTTTGTGTGACTACCAAACAAATAAATAAGATGGGAGGGGGTGGGTGGGATCTGAGGCAGGAGTGATAAGGGATTTGAAAATGTCATTCATCTGTCCAAATCTTCTCCTCTTGGGAACTTGAGCAGTCCAAATTCCACAAGTCCCCCTTTTTCTTCTTAAGAGCCAGTTTGGTGTAGTGGTTAGGAGCACAGACTCTAATCTCGGAGAACCAGATTTGATTCCCCACTCCTCCACATGCAGCTGCTGGCATGACCTTGGGTCAGTCACAAGTTCTCTCAGAGCTGTTCTCTCAAGGGCAGTTCTCGAAAGAGCTCTCTCAGCCCCACCTACCTCACAGGGTGTCTGTTGTGGGGAGGGGAAGGGAAAGGGATTGTAAGCTGCTCTGAGACTTATCCAGGCGGGGTATAAATCCAATCTCCTCCTCTCCTTTTCCTCCTTCCTGTGTTAACCGTCTCCCAACTGCTCTCAACCGTTCCTTGTGTGTTCAGTCCTCATTGAGCTATTTGGATGGGTTTTTTTCCTCTCCTCTTTGTCATTCAGTTGATTTACACAATTGTCTGTCTTCATTCCTGAAGAGTTCCCAGAGGAAGTAGAAACTTTTTCCCTTGTCAGTAAGTGACCTAGTTTTGCTGTATTCAAGGTATAAGCTTTCTTGTGTATGTATGCTTCCTCAGATGCAGTGAGACAGAATTTCCTCAAGTTCTACATACAGGAAGATGTGGGAAGGGCAGCCGTCAGGAAAGGCCAGTCAGAGCCAAGATGCATAAGTAAGGCTGAAATTGTATCAAGGAGGCCGGTAAGATCAATGAATGGCAGCAAATTAGCACACAAAATGTGGGAGCTAATGAACATGTGAGAACAAAGCTCTCACGTTTGTGTGCTGATTTGCTGCCACTCATTGATCTTACTGGCCTCCTTGATACCATCTTAGCCTTACTTATGCCTCTTGGCTCTGACTGGCCCTTCCTGACAGCTGCTCCCCCCCCCCATCTTCTTGTATGGTATGGCTTGAGGGAATTCTGTTTTGCTGTATCTGAGGAAGTGTGCTTGCGCACGAAAGCTTATACCCTGAATAAAACTTTGTTGGTCTTAACGGTGCCACCGGACTCAAACTTTGTTCTGCTGCTTCAGACCAACAAGGCCGCCCACCCGGATCTAGTTTTGCTGTGTTTGTGACTGGCATGAGCCGCCTGCTTTGCTCTCAGATACAAAGTGGTGTTGATGATCCATGAAGCTTCTTTCTGCTGAGTCCGACCCTTGATCTGCCAAGGTGGGTGTTGCCTACTCTGACTGGCAGCAGCTCTCTAAGGTCTCAGGCAGAGGTCTGGCGCATCAACTGCGACATGGTCCATAACTTGAGATGCCGGGAATTGAACTGGGGACCTTCTGGCCAAGCCGGGTGCTCTCCCACTGAGCTACAGCCCCAACGTGATCTACCACCAGGGCTGCTTTGCAGTCTATTTCTGCTGTCCTTATGCTTGCAGACAAGTAAAGTTTTTTTTCAGTTTGATGACAGAAAAGTCACCTTTAAGCTGTAGCACTGGGTTGCCATTTTGGCGAATGTGGAGCTGTGGGGTGAATTCGGGCTCCCGGTGAGCCATGGGGCATGACACAGATATGCTTTGCCAAGGCCTGGTGGTTCAGGCACCCCCTGCAAGACTCTTACCATGACATGGCCAGCGTAGTGTAGTAATTCAGAGTGTTAGACCTAGTATCTGGGAGACCCAGATTCGAATCCCCACTTGTGCCAGTAGCGTCCAGTAACCACACGTACCAGATTGGCTAGTGCTGACTATACACACTGGATTTATTTCCACAGATATTTACACACAGTCTTTAAGCACTTATAGACTCCAAATCGTCATGCAGTCCGACAGAGTGCTTCGCATACAAGTCATCCACCAGAGTGAAGTGACTGCTCAAGTACTGTACACAATATATACATACACAGCACCAATCAGTGTCCAGTGCTGATTCATGGTGACATCATTTTGGCTGATGCAACTTAGATGCAGTCCTGTACCTGGTGACACATCATGTGACTCTCTCAACTGTCATTCCAGATCAGGATGATCTACACCATTTAACATTACCAGGCTGTCATCTTGCCCCCATACAGAACAGTATGCCGTCAGTGCCAGGGAAGCTCAATGGGTGACCTTGGGCTAGTCTCACTCAGCCTAACCTACCTCACAGGGTTGTTGTGAGGACAGAATGGAGGAGAGGAGAATGATATTAAGACCCTTTGGGTTCCCATTGGGGAGAGAAGTAGGGTATAAATGAATTAAGTAAATATTTGTCTTTTTTTAGAAACGAGGTAGGTTTTTTGTATTCACGCTGCGTGAGATTTTATGCATGGGATGCAGTTTTAAGCAGGTGAACAGTTCACATGTTTTATCGGGCTCCCTGAGGCTGGCCAAGGCGTCCTTTCAGCTCGCATTTCCCATCATGCTTTGCAAGTCTTCATGGCTTATGTGCCCATCCGTACAGCAAGGCAGCAGCTATAGAGTTACCTCCTAGAGCTTATGCCCTTGTCCTTCCTGCCCTACCCCCAAACAGCCTAGGAGGACAGAAATGCGCACACTTCTGGGGCTGCCCTTCTCATCACCGAGCCATTGAGAAGGGGGGGGGGGCAATAGGCTGTTCTCCCAGAGAGAAGGCAGCTGTGGCGTCCGTCCTTCAAAAGTCTCGACCAGGGAGGCAGCGGCAGCCAGCTGTTCAGATCAAGGTCTGTGCCTATTAGAGGGTCACATCTTATTCGCATTCCAACCATTGGGCTGTTGCTCCCGTTGCAACTCGAGATATTGAAAAGGGCTTTAGGGATTAAAGTATTCAGGAGGGAAATATCCCCTTCCCAGCTGGCTCTTGTGCAAAGAGTGGAGTGGGGGGAATGAACTGGGCTGCTTGATCTGTTCTGGTTGCATTGGGGGGGGGGAATGCATGCCGTCGTGTATCAGCTACCCCTTTCTCCCTTCTCCTCTGCCAAAGGTCTCCAAGCAGTCCTTTCTGTAGGCTTGCTTTGACACTCTTCCCACCTGCCCTATTTTTGCTTCTCCTGCAGCTGCTAGTCTGTCCTTGTTTCTGTTGGCTGATGCGAACAGTACTTCTCTGTAATCCTGTCATCTTCTGATACCATCGGATCCATTTAACTACTGGGGCATCCTCTCTCTGAATCTCTCCAGTTTTGTTGGGGTCCCCAGCCATTTTTGCTCTGTAGGCAGAACAGCATAAAGGGAGCCCTGCAAGTTTCCTGGGGACTGATCTCAACAAGGTGGTGCTCTGGAACGGGCTGGGGCACGCAGAAGAATTAAATTGTAAAGCCCTGGAATGGTTTGAATGGACTGCACCGTTTCCAGCTGTCTGTTTAAAAAGTCCAGTTACGAGTGGGTTTTTCTAAAATGCCATGCACAAAGATTCACAGAAGAGCGAGAGAAGTCCAAGGAGATGAGGCAGGAGATAAATGTTTAAAGTAAATAAAATTTTAAACAAATCACCCCTCCTCTCGGCTTGTGTTGCTGGTTTTCTACGAATGGGGAAATCAGAATACAGACGACAACGTTCCAAAGTGAGATCCTCCGCTTTATTTGGCTTGCCATATCTGACACTGACCAATTTGTCTTCCACTAATGTATCTAGTCCTTCGAAACTGAATTGGTGGACATCGATACAATGATCGCATGAGTTACTTTCTCCTACGGCAGGGCCCACCGAGACCTGGATTACCCAGGCTAGTCCAGTCTCATCAGAACTCAAAAGCTTCGTGGGTTGGCCCTGTTCAGTCAGAGAAGGAAACCCGGGGTTGCTATGCAGGCGATGGCAATGACAAGCCAACTTGGTCTGGACAATTTTGTCTGCTAATTTGCTGCCATTCATTGATCTTACCAGCCTCCTTGATACAATTTCAGCCTTACTTATGCATCTAGGCTCTGACTGGCCTTTCCTGACAGCTGCCCTCCCCCCATCTTCCTGTATGTAGAACTTGAGGAAATTCTGTCTCACTGTATCTGAGGAAGCATGCATACACAAGAAAGCTCATACCTTGAATACAGCAAAACTAGGTCACTTACTGACAAGGGAAAAAGTTTCTACTTCCTCTGGGAACTCTTCAGGAATGAAGACAGACAATTGTGTAAATCAACTTGGTCTGGACAGTAGATTCACGAAAAGCAAGAAGGAAATGCTTCTTTAGACAACAATTAAAATATGGAACTCGCTGCCGGGGGATGTAGTGATGGCCACAGGCACTGACAGCTCTAAAAGGGGATTAGACCGATTCATGGAGGGCAGGTCCACCGGTGACTACTGGTCACTAAAGGGAACCTTCACGTTCAGAGGCACTGAATCTCTGAATAGCAGTGCCAGCAGACAACGTTAGGGGAAGGCCCCAGCTTCTATGCCCTCTTTGTTGGACTGCTAGAGGGACGGGTTAGCCAAGGTGTGAGACAGGATGCTGGACTAGATGGACTGCTGGACTAGATGGACCATGCGCATGAAAGCTTAGACCCAGAATTAAACTTTCTCGGTCAAAGGTGCCACCGGACTCAAACTTTCTTCAACTGGTGGCTATGCTCACTGTTAGTGAAACTGTTATAGTGGTTCCTGCAGGCAGTTCACGAAGACAGGTGTCCCCAAGCCATCTTCCCCGTCCTCAGGAAGCACAAAAAGGAGGAACAGTTTGCCTCCGATGGCACCCACGGCGCAGTCACAGATCCAAGAGGGCTGCAGGAGACCAAGAGATAGATCAAGGTGAGTTGCCATGTTTGTCGGTCTGAAGCAGCAGAAAAGAGCAAGATTCCAGTAGCACCTTCAGGACTAGCAAAAAATTGTGGCAGGGGGGTATGAGCGTTCGTGAGTCACTGCTCGCTTCTTCAGATATTCACTTCTTCGGGTATCTGAAGAAGTGGGCAGTGACCAGGGGTTATTTCGTAGAAAAAGAGGTGCCGGAGCTCATTTGCATAACTCATTACCATAACCTATGCATATGCCACACCCCCTGACATCACCGGAAGTGTGTCAGAAGGCAACACCCACCGTTCAGCTGGACTGTTTTGGATTGCTAGCTAGGGGGGGGGGGGAGAACGTGCAGATCCACCGTCACAGAGGAGGGAGAGCTTGTACCTGAAGGCAGGCCAGGGGCGGGAGGCTCTGCAACTTACCTGGCTGCTTCTTGCTCCTCGTGGCCCAACTGAGAGCAGGGGGCACGGCTTGTTGCATGTGCCCACCCCCTGGGCTCCTTACTGCCGGAGCTCCGCTCCTGTGCGCTCCTGCAGGAAATGACCCCTGGCAGTGACTCAGAAAAGCTCATCCCCTGCCACATATTTTGTTAGATTGTAAGGTGCTCCTGGACTCTTGCTCTTTTCTAAAAACACCAAGAACTTGTGTTGCTGCAACTTGGCAATTGCTAGTTGCCAGCAGAGCACATTCCTTCTTAAAGACAGAGGGATCTCCTGAAGACAGTTTTTCCTCCCCTCAGCAACTAAGGGCAGAGTAAATCACAGTCCCGCCGGGGCCGAAGTTGGATGAAGTGGCTTCTGGGAGCAGGGGAGCGCTTCAACCACCTCCATGTTCTTCACAGGAGAGCTGAAGCATTGCGGCTGGGAATCATGTTCCCTCTAGCTGTGGAGTCTTGTGAGCAAAAATTCTACTTTGTGAGCTACTGACATTAAAGTTGTGAGCAGGTGATGTGGCCACTGCATAAATCAGTTTGCTCTAGAGAGCCATCCTTCCTGAGCTAAGACAAAAAATGTGTGAGCCACAGGCTAAAAAACTGTGAGCTAGCTCACACTAACTCAGCTTAGAGGGAACACTGGGGACAAGCCCCTTGCTTCCTGTTTCCATCATACACAATTTTAGCAAAAGTAAACAGGAGTCCCGTGACCCAACTAACCCCATTTCACTCTAACGGGAGATTCCAAAGTCCACTTCTTCCAACTCAGTGGTAGGGTTGCCACAATACTCCCTCAAAGCTGTGGAGTCATGTGAGCAAAAATTCTACTTTGTGAGCTACTGGCATGAAAGCTGTGAGCAAGCGATTTGGCTACTGCATACATTAGTTTGCTCTGGAGCCCTCCTTCCCGAGCTAAGACAAAAATGTGTGAGCCGGAGGCTAAACAACTGTGAGCTAGCTCACACTAACTCAGCTTAGGGGGGACACTGGGTTGCCAGCTCGTGGTTGGGAAAGACCTGGAGATTTTCAGGGGGGAATGTGGGGGTTGGGGAAGGGAGGGACCTCAACGTAGTATGATGCCATAGAGTCCACCCTCAAAGTTGCCATTGGGCGATTCTGCTTGCCTGTGTACTGGCTTACATGTGATCCATAGGAAGGCCACAGCTTTTTGGTAGTTGTGTCTATTTCTTCTTTGGCAGCTCTGGATTATAGAAGGTCAGCCTCCAGTAGATTGCTCTCAGTTCTTTGGCAGTCGGTGTTACAGTTTTCCCTGTGCAGGTTCTCTCAAGGGAAGACCCTTACGGAGGACACTCCTTAGAGCACGGGCGCTGTAAGGCAGTGAAGCAGAGTATGTGTCCTTAACGGTTCCATACTAGCGTCACCTTGTGCCCGGGTTACTTTAACAGAGGTATGTAAGCCTAATATCTTAATGCTTCTCTGGATAACCGTCTTCTTGACTCTGCATCTAGCATTCGCTCTGCATTTTCTCACCTGGGAGGAAAAAGTGCAGCTCAAAACGACATTCAAATACCCCGGGCCAGCGCCATACTGACTGCAAAGTCACCCCTGAACGGCCAGAAAATGGCCATAAATCCATGCAGAAGGTACCATAAAGACCAATGGTCAAAGGAAACGAAAGCGGCATGCAGTGTGGAGGCTACCCTAAAATCTGATGATCAAAGTAAGTGAAAGCAGCATGCAATGCAGAGGGGAATTTCTGTTTCAATGTGGGCTTGGTTAAAACAACAGAGAGGGA